GAGAAAAGAGAGAGAGAGAAATGAGAGAGGAGAGAGAAAGAGAGAGAGAGAGAGAGAGAGCAGAGAGAGAGAGAAAGAGAGAGAAGAAGACGAGGAGAGAGAAAAACAGAGAGAGAACGAGAGAGAGAGAGAAAAAACAGAGAGAGAGAGAGAGAGAGAAAACAGAGAAGACGAGAGAGAGAGAGAAGAGAGAGGAGAGAGAGAGACGAGAGAGAGAGAGAGAGAGAGAGAGAGAGAGAGAGATGAGGAAAGAGAGAGAGAGAGAGAGAGAGAGAGAGAGAGACAGAGAGAGAGAGAGAAGAGAAGAAACAGGAGAGAGAGAGAGAAGAAGAGAGCAGAAGAACAGACAGAGAGAGAGAGGAGAAAAACAGAGGGAGAGAAAGAGAGAGAGAGAGAGAGAGAAAAACAGAGAGAGAGAGAGAGAAAACAGAGAGGAGAGGAGGAGAGAGAAGAGAACAGAGAGAGAGAGAGACGAGAGAGAAAATAGAAGAGAGAGAGGAAACAGAGAGAGAGAGAAACAGAGAGAGAGAAAAGAGAACGAGAGAGACGAGAGGAGAGAGAGAACAGAGAGAGAGAGAGAGAACAGAAGAGAGAGAGAAACAGAGAGAGGAGAGAGAGAAACAGAGAAACAGAGAGAGAGAGAGAGAGAAACAGAGAGAGAGAGAGAGAAGAGAAAACAGAGAGAGAGAGAGAAACAGAGAGAGAGAGAGAGAAACAGAGAGAGAGAAGAAACAGAGAGAGAGAGAGAAACAGAGAGAGAGAGAGAAACAGAGAGAGAGAGAGAAACAGAGGGACAGGGACAGGGAGAGGGAGAGGGAGAGGGAGAGGGAGAGAGAGATAGAAAATGTGTACATGTGAGTGCATGGTGTGTGCATGTAAGCTTGTGTGCTTGTGTGCTTGTGTTTATCTAAACCCTATGATTCGGGTGATGTTACGGTCCTGTCATGGAAAAATCTAGGTCAAGGGCTAAGTGACATGAACATGCTTTCATCGGATAAAATGACTGCGGGTTGTCATGAGTGAAGGCTAGGGTGATGGAAGAGACTCGCCACGAGTGCACAAACCTTTTGGAGTGTTATTAGACTTATCTGGTGCTTAGAAGGGGGCTTTTGCATTATTCCCATCGATAAATGAATATGGAATGTAAGGTGCGTAAGACATGATTGGAAGAGTGCGGGCTCCAAGGGGAATGCCATTTCCATGCTCAGCATTGTATTCTTGGCTACTGGCAACGCAGGCTGTATTGTGGAAAATTATGAAAAAATAAGATACATGACACAAATAACCAATTTTTCTTTTTTCCACCAAGTTATTTACTACAGAGACAAATATGGATACTGGAAAATGGTACGACAGCTAAAAAAAAGTTTATGCAAAATAACTTTGCAAAGGGGAGGCACTGAGTCTTGTCATCGCTCTTAAGTGTTCACACGCGCTCTGCCAACACACCACACACATAGGATATTGGCCACTTACAACCTATTGCGCATATTTTCAGCACTGTGATTTCTGTGACGCAACCAGATCCAACGGGTTAAGAATGTGTATGCATGCATGTGCATACGTGTGCATGTGCTTGTGTGTGTGTTCTTACCTAGTTCTTTCAATACGGAAGAAGAGCTAAGCATGTGTATGTGCGTGTGTGCGCGTATACGCGTGCTTGTGTGTATGTGTGTGTGCGTGTGCATGTGTGTGTGTGTGTGTGCGGGTGCTTGGTGCTTGCTGTGTTGTGCTTGTGTTGTGTGGGTGTGCTTGTGTGTGTGGGTGTGTGCTTGTGTGTGTGGGTGTGCTTGTGTGTTGTGTGCTGGTGTGTGTTGTGGTGTGTGTGGGTGCTTGTGTGTGTGGGTGTGCTGTGTGTGCTGGGTGTGCTTGTGTGTGTGGGTGTGCTTGGTGTGTGGGTGTGCTTGTGTGTGTGGTGTGCTTCGTGTGTGTGGGTGTGCTGTGGTGGGTGTGCTTGTGTGTGTGGGTGTGCTTGTGTGTGTGTGGGTGTGCTTTGTGTGTGTGGGTGTGGCTGTGTGTGTGGTGTGCTTGTGTGTGTGGGTGTGCTTGTGTGTGGTGTGGTGTGCTTGTGTGTGTGGGTGTGCTTGTGTGTTGTGGGTGTGCTTGTGGTGTGTGGGTGTGCTTGTGTGTGTGGGTGTGCTTGTGTGTGTGGGTGTGCTTGTGTGTTGTGTGTGCTTGTGTGCTTGTGTGTTGGTGTGGTGTGCTTGTGTGTGTGGGTGTGCTTGTGTGTGTTGTGTGCTTGTGTGTGTGGGTGTGCTTGGTGTGTGTGGGTGTGGCTTGTGTGTGTGGGTGTGCTTGTGTGTGTGGGTGTGCTTGTGTGTGTGGGTGTGCTTGTGTGTGTGGGTGTGCTTGTGTGTGTTGGTGTGTGTGTGCTTGTGTGTGTGGGTGTGTGCTTGTGTGTGTGGGTGTGCTTGTGTGTGTGGCTTGTGCTTGTGTGTGTGGGTGTGCTTGGGTGTGTGGTTTGTGCTTTGTGGTGTGTGTGTGTGCTTGTGTGTGTGGGTTTGCTTGTGTGTGTGGGTGCTGTGTGTGCTGGGTGTGCTTGTGTGTGTGTTGTTGTGTGTGGGGGTGTTGTGTGTGTTGGGTGTGCTTGTGTTGTGTGGGTGTGCTTGTGTGTTGTGGGTGTGCTTGTGTTTGTGGGTGTGCTTGTGCTGTGTGTGGTGTGCTTGTGTGTGTGGGTGTGCTTGTGTGTGTGGGTGTGCTTGGTGTGTGTGGGTGTGCTTGTTGGTGTGGGTGTGCTTGTGTGTGTGTGGGCAATGTTGGCTTGTGTGTGTGCTGTGCTTGTGGAAGCACTAGTGGGTGTGCTTGCTGTGTGTGGGTGTGCTTGTGTGCTGTGCTTTGCTTGTGTGTGGGTGTGGTGCGTGTGCTTGTGTGTGTGGGTGTGCTTGTGATGTATGTGTGGTGTGTGTTGTGCTGTGTGGTGTGTGCTTGTGTGTGTGTGTGCTGTGTGTGTGTGTGCTTGTGTGTGTGGGTGTGCTTGTGATGTGTGGTGTGTGCTTGTGTGTGTGACTTGTGTTGTTGTGTTGTTGTGTGTGTGGGTGTGCTTGTGTGTGTGGGTGTGCTTGTGTGTGTGGGTGTGCTTGTGTGTGTGGGTGTGCTTGTGTGTGTGGGTGCTTGTGCTGTGTGTGTGCTTGTGTGTGTGCTTGTGTGTGTGCTTGTGTGTGTGGGTGTGTTGTGTGTGTGCTGCTTGTGTGTGTGGGTGTGCTTGTGTGTGTGGGTGTGCTTGTGTGTGTGGTGTGCTTGTGTGTTGTGTGTGTGTGTTGTGCTTGTGTGTGTGGGTTTGTTGTGTGTTGTGTGTGTGGTGTGCTTGTGTGTGTGGGTGTGCTTGTGTGTGTGGGTGTGCTGTGTGTGTGGGTGTGCTTGTGTGTGTGCTTGTGTGTGTGGGTGTGCTTGTGTGTGTGGGTGTGCTTGTGTGTGTGTGCTGTGTTGTGTGGGTGTGCTTGTGTGTGTGTGCTTGCATTTTCACTCGCATACTTATGCTGTGGGGAAGTGCTTTTGCATGTGTGTGCTTGTGCTTTTAATTTTCTAAATCTTTACCAAGTAACATGGGCATGTGTGCTCAAGCACTAGTGTGTGCTTGTGCATGTGTGGGGTCTTTTGCATGTCTATTTACTGTGTTTACTTATGCTTCTAAGTTTCTACATTTTTTTCAAATAAAATATAAAACACTGAAGCTGATTTTTTTACACATTGTGAAAGCATTTACACTGATAAATCATTCTTTCTACTTTATCAGCAAAGCAGAAAACATTTCACATAAAAACTTTACTTCTTACCTTCCCTCTGTTCCTCTTTAAGACATGAAAATGAAGCAGTAACCAAAATAAAGTCAAGTACAATTCAAGACTATCTTATCTTTTGTATTCTACACTTGCATACTTTAAAATATCATATAATCAGCTAAAGTCCATGGTTTGCGCATTGAAAAGTTGTTTGTAAATCTTCAAAAATAATTTTTGACCCTAGCTATGCCAAAACAAATACAGTAAGCACAACTATCGTTAGTTGGAATATATATAGCTGTGGTAAAATAATCTATGACTGAACAGCTGGCCAATGGCAGGAGATGCAAGACAAGCAACTACCCTATTCCATTTAGTGCATCTTGACCAACAGAGGATAGACAAATCATCAAACACACTTTTGACATGAATAATAAGGCCAGAAACTCTTCCATCATGTACATCACACATATCTTGACAACTATCTAGAACAGGCAGTAGCATTATATACCAGATTGAAAATCAACTATAAGAGCAGTGGTTCTCAATATTTGTAGTCTGGCAACATACTAAAAATATATCCCAGACTTCTGAGACAGACCTACTCTGTTCTTCATCAATATATAAATACAAATGTATCATACATGTATGTGCTCATCATATTATCTCTAAAATATACAAACTACTGTGAGATAATTTAATAAAACTTTAGAAATTCTGATTAATGGGAACCTTTAGGTTAGGTTAACTTTTTATATTTTCCAAAGTTTCAGACAAGAAAAAAAAAAAAAAAAAAAAAAATCTAAGGCGACACACGTCTGCAAAATATCATGCAGCACACATGAACAGCAATCATGACACATATTCAGAACCACTCACTGTACTATAGCATTAAAGTAAAGTGGCAGGTGAAAAACAATGCCCTATTGCTTAGCAAAAGCCATGTATTCAGAGAAATGCCTAATAGATGTTGCACATACTGTAACAAAAAATCAACAGAAATATAACAACTCAATGGGCATGGCACACTGAGTTGTTATATTTCATTCAGATTTTACTATCTTCAGCAGTAACCTCGTTATTTTCTCACAATAAAAATTTATATCCTAATTATGAAAATCTTAAACCACAATACCAAAGACACTTCTATTTTATAGCAACATAGAAAAGCCTTGTTACACTACTGAATGCAACTTATTGCCCTTTACCACTCTTAAAAGTAACCTCTGTAGGGCAAGTTTCATGAAAGCGATTAAATCAAAATATATATTCATCTTCAGAACACTTTACAGAACACTCACTCAGGCTGTTTGGGTCCAGAATATTGGTCAGAGAAGTGGAAGAAGTCAACCAAGCCCGGGAATTTATTCAGCACAGCTGTCACCTTGTGGTCCCCTAGTATTGTTGACGACACTTCACCTAGCTCATTCATCATCACAAACTGTGAACCCAGGCCAAACTTCTCAGGCGACTTTTTCTCTGGGCAGAAAGTGCTCTGCGGATAGATTGTTATACATTTTAGAACAGAAAGGAAAAACATTAAAAGAAAAACAAGAATACCATTACCATCCTACTTTTTTCCTATCAATCTATTCAGAACATAAGAAGATGGGGTTTATAACAATAAAGTGGTAATGGCTTGGGGCCTGTTGCATCTCCAAGCCAAGAAGTTTGGGCTCTACTATGCTTAGAAATTAAGAAGTGTTTCTATATAAGGTAACAGTCTATACCTGCCCTTTGAAAAGAAGTATCTATCATAGCCTTTGCCTGGGAAAGTTTGGGACATAAAACTATAATCAACAAGATGAAACTATAAGAATAATCAAAATATCAAATAGTAGTATCTACAATATCAACAATAACAATAGTAATATTAATATCAATAACAGTAATAACAGTATCACTAACAATAGTGATAACGATAACGATGATGATGATGATGATAATAATCATAATAATAATAATAATAATATTAACATTCCCCAAAATAACAAAAAATAGCAATTATCACAATCATTATCATCCTTAATGACAATCATCTACATACAATGTCTGTCATCTCCTTAGCCAGTCTGCCTGCTGTTTTCTTGGTAGCAAGTGAGAAGACAAAGGAATCCATCTCATCAAGGTGGACCTTCACAAGCAGCTGGTCACTTGATGGACGTATAAGCTGGGATATCACACCAATCATATCTTGTCTCTGACGAAAAACAAGATGGAAGATTGCTATGGTGTTTCAGGTCACAAATTACAGCAGTTTAGAAGCATGTCAGACTTGGAATGTGAAATTCTGGGGAAAAAAATGATATTTATTCAAAAATGGTAAATATCTTATGTAGGAAATAACTCGTACATACTTTTATGAACTTTAGTTCCACTAGCATTCCTTCAACATTGACGCGACCAGAGCACCATAGTGTATAAACATTCTCGGATTCCTTTTGCAAACCTGCATTTTCAGGTGGCATCTTACCATCATCCCCTGAAATTCAGTTTAAGTTTGTATTAATCTAACATACATCCTTAATATGCAAAATGACCAATACATAAGAACAGATAAAACAAATACCAGAAAGATGTAAAATTTGATTTGTGATTATATGATTACATGAACCATAAAAAAATATTTTTTTTTTAATAAACAATCAGATTCCTGTTAATAGCCCTCATGTAAACTATACAGGCTCCAACCCCCTTTTTAATGGTAAACTATAATAAGCTTCTTACCAACTAGAGCAAAGTTCTGCTCCAAAAGACTTCTATGTGAATTATACCAAGCATTGGCTAATTTCTGGTTTTTAGATTTTCCCACTATGAAATTGATGAAGTACACAACAAGCCCTGCAATCATAAGCATTTCAAGGTAGAAGCTATCCCAGTTGCTTCGAAGATGAAGGGGAACCTGCAAAAGATAGCAAGATTTGATTAACAATGACAGCAAAATGAACCTTGTAATATCCTGTGTCCATTATACAGACTATATAATTCCAAAACATTTGGCCCAAACACCAACATTAGCTATGGTAATCTTGGGTTCCTCTTGTGTTTTGGGCACCCTGGCTCCTTGGGGTCGCTCACTGTCAAATCCAATAAATTCCTCTTCATCATGGAAGTGACTGAATTCATCATTCTCATCTTCATCCTATGAAAGAAAGTTTTCATTATAAAATTAATTCAAAATCTCTTAATTCTCTGATACACATACTTCTTTTTTATTTCATACAAAAATCTCACTACATGGAAAACTACATATACTTTCGCATTTGAACTGCAATGGCATGACACTTGCCTCCACCACTGCTTCTTCTTCATCCTCCTCTATATCCATTCTTTGGCCACCCCCTTCCTGGCTGCTGCCACCTCCTCCCCTACTCCTCCTCCCTCCTCCTCTTGATGCTGGTGCTTCCTCCTTGCTTTGTGCTTCATCCTCTTCTCCTACTATCTCCTCCTCTTCATCAAATACTTCAAATTCAGCAAAGTCATTGTCCTCGTATTCTTGCACAGCAGCATTAATTCCAATGATTCCAATGAGGAACAGGGCAAATATTAATGATCTCATCTGCAAGAGGAATTAACAATATTACCTTTAATTGAATGTTCTCTATGAAAATACAATGTCAATGATATACAACAGCAAGGAAAAAGTGTAAAAAAAAAAATAAATAAATAAAATAATAAGTGTGCGCACCCTAGTTCTAAATATTTCGCAAAAGTAAAAAATATATGAAATAAATGTAGCTAAACATCTTTCATCCAAAAAATGGATATAGGAAAATCTACCATTCCTAAAAAAGTAGTTACAAGTCACTGTAACACCTTCCTGTTTGATCTTAATTTTAACAAAAATACAGGATGCAATTTTTGGGAAGGGTATATAGGACAAGGGTAATGGTGGGTTACAAATATATAATCAGTGCAATCAGAACTGGAACCATTGGCACAAAACCAAAGCATGTAACAGGGTGCGTGCAGGGTCAAGAGAAAATTCAGAAATCATCCTAGCATGAGGGGTGATCTACCATAATGTGAAAGATTCCAGCATGAGTGGGTTAACAGGACAATTTATAGAAAGAAGCCTGAAACTATCAGAGCAATATAAACACAAACAACTCTACTGGTAAACTTACAAACTTACACAATAACATTAACCACTTTAACCTAAAATGCTAGAGACATAATATTTGCAAGTCTTTTGTACCTACAAACATTATGCTTGCTTTCATGGCTTCTTCACGTTTGTTATGGTCTTTCTCATACTGCTACTATACTATATGGCAACAACTAATTATCTGAACATTAGTAACATAAGATGTTATAAATACTCGCCTACTTTTGGCTAATAATAGCTTGCATATTCTATGAAGATAACCAGCTTCATGAATCATTATATAGGTCCCTCTTTCACCCACACATTCTCAAAAGCAATTTGGTTTGCCATAATAAAATTTGGAAAGCAAATCTACACCATTTAAAACATGATTATAGAGAAACTTCTTGCTCAAAACCTATATATTGGCTTCACTAGCTTCGACAAATTTTCTACTTTATTCTATTAACTACAGATGTTTCAAAAATGAATCTGAAACACCTTACATTCCTTTCCCAGCATCAAATATAACTGTGTATAGGAGGTTCAGTCAGGACTTGGGAGGATGCTGCTCCTTGAAGATATATACCAAAACAAACAGTAAATATTCAGAGTACCTTTGCAAGCCTGAAATTTATACCATGCTGTGGAAACCACCCAATACTCTCATTCTTGACCTCGATTGCATTAAAGGGAATGAATGGTACCGGGGAAATTGCAGAGTAAAATATGAATAATATATAGAGAATTGGTTAAATGATGGGGGCTATACCCCCCTGGAACTCCCCCATGGGGAGCTGCTGCCACCCAATCAATGCAATTTTATGCCCTCCCATGCTATCAAGGACACGAATATGGGGGTTCAGGGGGAAGGGGACATGTCTGCAGCAAATGTCCTTAACCTACAAGTACGGGTAGTAGAGAATCAGAGGAATCCATCGAATCCACTTAAACAATTACCACATAAACTTACTTTAAAGTATAGAGGATCAAGATGTCCTACGTTTTAGAGGAAATATATTCTCATTCTATATGGTATAAACAAATGCATGAAAGTGAAAAAATGAGTCCACTCACTGAGTTTCCCTATAAAAGTCATTAAAATATCTTACTGTGATCAAATTTTTAGAAGCAAGATATAATGATTACAGGTGGGGGGATGGGTGCATGTGCATGCTCATATGCATGTGTGCATGTGCATGTGTGTGTGTGTACATGTGTGTGTGTGCACGTGTGTGTGTGCACGTGTGTGTGTGCATGTGTGTGCGTATGCATGTGTGTGTGTGCATGTGTGTGCGTGTGCATGTGTATGCGTGTGTATGCGTGTGAATGTGTGTGTGCGTAAGCATGTGCATGTGTGTGTGCGTAAGCATGTGCATGTGTTTGTGCGTGTGCATGCGTATGCATGTGCGTGTGTGTGCATGTGTATGTGTGTACATGTGTATGTGATGTGTGTGTGTGTGTGTGTGTGTGTGTGGTGTGTGTTGTGTGTGTGTGTGTGTGTGTGTGTGTGTGTGTGTGTGTGTGTGTGCATGTGTGCATGTGCATGTGTGTGCGTGTGCATGTGTGCGTGTGTGCATGTGTGCGCGTTTGTGTGTGTGGTGGGGGGAGAGAGAGGAAGAAAATGTATTTGATAAGAGATATTCAGGACGACACAAACAAATTTTCTGCACGTAATCGAGGGCCCTGTACATACACAAGCAACACGCTTTTTGAACCACCAGACAAACCAGTAACTTTGTAAGTACATCCTTGGCCTCAAAAATTCCAGTATAATACTTTGGAACATACACATCTGTCATCTGTAATATGGAAATTTGTAGAATAAGACAGGAACCAGGCCAAGCTCTATCTTGCCAGAATAAAAAAGGTCTGTTAGTTTTTGCTGAGGCACTAAAGGCACAGAGCTTACAGCAATCAACCAACTACATATACTGCAGTCCTTCATCACATATCTGAGAACAACATAGGGAGCAGAATTTCACATGATGCTGCACTCATCCTCTTCACAAACTTCAATATGAGATATATTTTGAATCGAAACAAAGGAGAAATATTGCGGAAATCACCACATATGGTTGAACTCCAGCAAAATCTACAGGAATCCACACAGTCTAAACCCCTGTTGGTAATCGTACAAGACATCTGGCCAAAAACCACCCTAACCTAACAATCGTGGTTGTCGTGCCTAGGCGTGCCCTTTAGGCACTACTCAAGGGGAGGGTTGATGGGGGGCTCTGCCTCCTAACACCCCCTGGAACACATTCTCATCACCTTGGTATTTACGGCAAGATGGAGCTGCATCCATACCATAAAAAAAAAAAAAAATACCTTTGCATCTGGAAACACCAAACTTTCATTCACTTTATACTGCCTGGATTGCTTCATTCTTAATAACATTTTTCGGAATTTGGGGCACTTGATGGGCTAAGATATCAAAATGGGATGGTTACTAATGTCTATTTCTTCTTTGTTGCCACTGTATAGTCTTAAGAATAACCTAAAATCAACACAACACTGAAAACAAAAATTTTGCCACTGGGCTTGTCATGAAATGGCAGGTATCAGCTTATCAAACCTGGCATTGGAAAAAATGCACATGTGCATTAGATTATTATAAAGAAGTGTATAGATAAATCTTACAACACAAAGGATATATAACATTAATAAAAGATGTAATTATTATAGATGTGGAACAGCAGACACTGATAATTAGCATAATATCTTTTTGACAAGTGCATAGCAAAACACAAACTAATTGGGATATCGTAGTAATGAGTTATATGGTCAGTGCATTTTTCCTCACAATGTAAACAAGATGAGCAACTAAGACTCTGAGCAGTGTTATGCAGGGTTATTCTCATCATTTAGCAGTGAATATGAGGCCACTGCAGCTTGAAATATGCTGTTTCTGACTGTTTCTTATGCTCTATAAGCTCACAGTGCTTATTTTCCTCTATCTCCGTGCATTACTCTAAGTAACTTATACCAGCTTTTGCAACTGGGAGATCCGTCTATCTACATTCTTATATGCACTAGGACAATTAAAAGACGAAATATCAGGCAAATGTTTGGAAGTCAACTAAGCATTCAACATTCCTCTTGATCTCAGTAGCAAGACCTTCAACTTTATTGGTGCTCCAGCAAAAACCAATAAAGCTTCATGAATATTTTAGAAAAAACTTGTAAGCTTCCCTGGCAATTTACTTTTAAGAGTTACCAGGTGAAGCCTAGTTTTGTCAGTTTTAAGACGGTTGAGGTTTGTTGGCCTTTGCCATAGTGTGAAGCATAAAGGTCGCAGCAATTATTTGAATTTATGCTTTCATGTAGGAGCCAAATTGTAGGCCATTGACCCCAAATGATACAAAATGGAGGAACACACAACACAACCAATATAATAATGTGAAAAAAATCCCATTCCAAAAGCCCCATCTCTAAACATATACCTTATGACCAATATGACAAGAACCTAAACTCATTAGTTTTCACCTGGAAGACTTCTTTGATGAGCCAGAACCCTAATAAATGGGGGCAATAAACAATTTCTTGGTTAAATAGCTTCCTTTTCAATAGCATAAAAATATAATCAAGCACATAAATCGAATATCTAATTTTTAACGTATGCAATCAATGGGTAACCCAAGCATAATTAGATCCTATCACTGGATTTGTATAAAATAGAAAAATATAATGAATATGCACCATGCATGATTACACAGATAAGGGAAACACTATAAAAACGGAAGCACAGGGAGAAAACACCCACTCGGCTAAATTGGACATTCCGTGACGGCGTTTGGGTTCAGGTCATGAAGCCCTACACAAAACATTTTCTCACAAAATCTCTGCAATTACGCTCATTTCCTGCTTCATTTTCCTTGCTTAGACTCAACTGGAGTTTAGGCAAAAGTTAATTTGTATAAAATCTGAAAAAAGTCGTCGGGAGAATGTTATTCACTTACAACGAGGAAAAGGAGGAAAGTCGTACATCCACTCTCGATTCTCGTTGCGTTATGACCTTAGCAGACGGCTTCCAACATGGACAGGGATCCTGTGTGTACACGTAAGGGGTTATGGGACTAAAACATTATCTATATCAACATTAGTGTAAATAATGATGCCTATTCAAGTGTGCTATATAAAATGACTTTTGATATAATAAATGATAGAACTGGCCTCTTAGATTTATCCATTCTTGCCTCTTTTAATATATGATCGTGAGAGAATGGACTTCCGTTATGGCAGTAAAATGCTACATGTATTGTTTTAAGTAGATCTCCCGAATATCAAAACAAATTACATAGCTATACAAATAAAATCCAAGGTATTCATAACTATACCAACATATATCTCTAGAACCACACAGCAGACAGCTTCCAACTTGGAGAAGGATCAAGTGTATAAAGTTAAAGAGATGATGAGGTAAAATCCTTTGGAAACTTGATTTGTCAAAAAAAAATTTAGTGACAGTAATAGTATTAGATATTATGAATAAATCGGAAGTAGGAACGGTCCCTAAAACTGTTTTTCTTATAATTGTTTTCCTGCCATTTGAGTTGTGCACGTCAGGATATCGTTATTCCGAGAAACAAATATTTCGATGGACTTTGGTAAAAGAATATTGTTCATGTAAAATTCCGCGAAAAAAGAATAAACAGTAAGCAACATTACGTAAAACCACGGAATGAAAAAAA